GATTTTGATCTACTCTACCCCTTATTTTAAATATTATAATCAAGTTCCTCGCAATTCTTGAACACTTTTAAAGTAAGAGAAAAGAATGCCGAAGTTTTACTTAATTTTTCATCATTGATATTGTACATTTGCTTAAATTGGACCTTAAAAACTATGCTTTTATATTTATTAAAAACAAGTATTGTGAGGCTTAAGTGCACTTCAAAGAAAGGAGGTTTTTAAAAATACTAAAATACAGTATACCCGAAAGCTTTACGAATATTGGGTAGTAAGACAAAGCCGATTCGAAGTTGGAGCTAGAGTTAAGGAGCCGCACAGAACAGTTCAAAACCCCGGCAGGCAGTAGCGGCAACTGCCACAAGTATATTTAATAACAAACGGCTTATGGGCGGCGGGGGGAGCTGCGGCAGGACCACTTCGGGGGCGCCGCTAATGAGCGACAGGCGGACAGAACCCGAGGCGTCTGCCTCTGATCTCGGGAGTCCGAGATATTCCCTCAATCCGTCGCCCGAGAACACTTGTCATAAACAGCTAATAGACGCGTGCAGCGACAACTTGATTAATTGAAACTAAATGGGTCCGAGTCGGCAGATTGCAGGTAACACTGCGTGCCGGGCAACAATTAGAAACGGTAAGACACACTCAACTCAACTCAACTCAAGTCAACTCAACCGAACTGAACCGAACTGATCTGGCAGGAAGTGCAGCACACAGCCTGGGCACAATTAAGCAAATGACAAATGGCATCAAATTGCATGCAAAACGCTAAAGATGGTAAAATGGCAAATTGCAAATGACCGAGGCGCCATCAGGATGCCGGGACGAGGGACAAGATCACCTTGGTCATTGAACGCAACAGAAACAGCAACAGCAACTTACTGCACAGCAGCAGCAACATGTTGCACATTCCAAGCGATGTCCGTTAGTGGCTGGTGCAGTTTTAATAAATTTAAATGTGGCCAGCTAGCCGCTGCCAAACAACAAAGCCGTTGTCATTTAACCGGCCAACGAGAATTGGTAATTGATGCCAAGGTTGCACAGGAAAAAATGCCACCAAGTCTAGTCACCAACTCGACGATTTTTTACTTAGAATAAACCATATCTGTGGAATATACGTAGCTTTGTTTTCCTCAATCCATCACTTTGCCAAAAAAGAAATATGGTTAAGTGCGTAAATCATTCTCATCTAGTACATAGTCATTTAAATATTTATTTATATTTCTGTACATTATTTAAAAAATATTTTTATATAAAGTGAAATTAAGAAATGCTAAACAATTTTAAAATTTGAAGGCAATCCGGGGTACTACAGAAATCGTTCCAACAAAATTGTAATCTAATTTGAATCGGTTGGAATTCTTTTGAAGAGATTTCTTTAGCACCCCAGATAATAGCATTTTTTCCTATGTGCCTACCACAGCAATGGTTGCAGCTGAAATTGTTAGTTCTCATAGCTTATCACTGAATTTGCGAGCATTTCTTGTGGAATTAGTTACCCACGACTTGCATAATGTACGGCAGCAACTTGCAACATCTGCAGGAACTGCAACTGTACTATCGCCACAGAGACTTTTTGGGTGCGATCAGGCACTGGCCATTACACAAATAACAGCTAATAACAGTAATAATTCAAATTAATTTCGCACCATTTGAAATCATTATGTGATAAAGAGAAGATACCGCAGAAGACCAGCTATAGAAGTGGAGGAGTCGAAGCGGTGGTATCAAGATCGCTATTAAAATAAAAATGAAGACAAAACTTTGGCAGATAAAAAAAGAGCAGCGCTTAAATGGCACCGAAATAGAGAGGAGTAGGAAAACCGAAGCGAAGGCAACCGAACCAACAAAGTATTGGCCAAGAGGAAAAAGTTGCGCAGAAAAATTACCGCCAAAGACCAAAAGATCAAGCCAGGGGGAAATAAACAACAACAACGGCAGGAGGAAAAGCGGCTGAAAAAAAGAAGATTGCTATTGGCACTTGAGCAGGAGCAGCAACATCGTGCTGCGTCTCCCTCTCTCTTTCACTCATTTAAGCCCCACTGAAGAAAATTATATATATTTAAGAAAGGAACTTTATCATAAAAAAGATATTAAAACCAAGTTAAACAGAAAAGTCGTAAGCGTATTTACATTTTAATTTGAAATAAAGATTGTTCAATATAATTTTATAAATCAGTCAAAAATCGTCTTTGCCAAGTTTCTTGAAAGCCTAATATAAAGTCGAGTTTTGCAATTAATTACAAACCCAATTATACATCTTAAACTGACAATTTATTTTTGACTGGAATTTTTTTTATTGTTTTAGTTCAAGATCTATTTAAAGTTGTATTTTAAAACTCAACCGTGCTCATTTAAAAAAAGGCCAGTTGGAATTATAATTAAATAATAAGCCTTAAAAAAAGTGTCACATTTGACTCGAATCAACCAATGTAACACTTTTTTCAGTGCAGATCATGCTAAACAGTTGCAGCCTGCAGAAAAATAAGAAGAAGACAGCATAGAAAAAGGGCAAAAGCATTTTCATAGCTCAGTAAAGTTCAAGAGTTGCTGCGGTGCTGCAGCAGTTGCTGTTGTGTTGCTGCTGTTGTACTTAGATGATCGTCGGTCGCATATTTTATAGCAGGCAAAGAATGCAGACGCCGCCATTGCGTTGATGTTGCTGCTGTGTCTGCCGATGTTGCTGCTGTGCCCGCTGCATATGCACAAAAGATAAGAGAGGAAGAAAGTTGCAACCACGCAACAGCAGCACCCACTCACAACAGCAACAGCAGCAGCAACAGTTGCAGAAGGAGTTAACAACTCCGGCGTTTATCCCATAATGATTACAAACGCCTTATGTGTGTCAGAGTCGAAAACCAAACAGTTGACCAGTTTTTCCACCCATTCCATGTTAATGAAGGAAGCGCCTGCAGCCTTGTCAACGTTCTACCCATTCTTTTTTCCGTTTTCCCCTGCTTTTTTTTTTGGGTTCTGAGATGGCTCTGGGCTCCCTCCATTAGGTGGCTCTAAAAAGGGCTAAGGAGACCAGCCTCTTTCTCACAAATTACACCACATTTGCCGCTGGCAAATTTCTGCCGCTGCCACAGCAGCAACACACTTACATACAACTGGTAACTGGCAACCAGCAACTTGAAACTAGCAACACAGGCAGTAGAACAAACATTTCCCGCATCTATCAGGTGCATTGATCTATGGCTATTTTTTTAATTAACGCTCAGTTTCTTTTATTGCGCGGCTACGTGAAAAATGGGAAGCTCCACAATACAACAGCCTTTCCGCTGAACTTGAGCTTCAGTTAGCAACGTTTTCTTATTAGTTCATTTGTTATTGTTTTATTGCAGTTCCCAGGCGTTAGGGAAATTGTTTGGAGCCTATTTGCTTGAAAAATGAAAGGGGACATGGAAAAATGTTTATTGGCATACTTAATGCTCTTTGGAATTAGGGAAAACATATTTGCGATGTTTTGTAGATTAAGAAATTCGATCTCTGTAGCGCGGTCGTTAGAAGTTTATTATTCAATTTGCTTTATTGTAAAATTTATATTTTTATTTGGAAGCCAGGAAAATGTAGTTTTCTTTACTGTTATTTTTAAATTTTTAATATTTCTACCAAATATATACTTTGTTTACCAAAATATATAAATGCTTTATAGAATATTAAGCATGTAATAAATAAATAAAAATTTAATGACAAGACATTTTTTATAACAAAAGTTTTTAAAGTCGTATACAAAAATTTAAATGGAAGTTAAATTAGTCTGACTCGAAATTCTTCAAAGCACTCTTTGTTAGTGTATAAATATGAGAAGACTAAGAAATGGAAATGGATGAGCCCCCAGAAGTTCATTAGAACTTCTGAGCACGATTGGGGCTATAGATCACCCAGAGGGAGAAAGGTCTTGAGAAACGAAAAAAGAAATGATACTGGAAGAGAGAGTGTTCGATATAGAGCTACATACTTCCCAATCTGAAATTAAGAAGGCCGCGACAAATTATGTTTAATGCGAAAGCATTTAGCTAAATTGAACCAGAGAGAAACCAAGAATTTTTTAGCTGGTTTTGGGGAAGAGGTGTTAGCTCGTCTGGTTCTGCGAGTACCAGTCCAAATCGATGACAGACTAAACGAGCCAAGTTGACATTGAAGCGAAAGCAGCTCAAGAATAAGGCCGTATACACAGAAAAATAATTTAATAAGTAAACATTCTTTAAGTAATAGTACATAAGCTTGACTAATGCAAAGGAATTTAGCTTGAATTAGTAGAGATAATTGTCTTTCACTGTTAAAAATGTGAAAAACAAAGCAAACATTCACATAGAAGAATTTAGAACTTAATATTTAAATAAATTCGACAGAAAACTACATTGTTAAAACCTTAAAAACACTCTGTTTTAATTGGCAAATAAAAAGCACTTTTCTTGTAGCACTATATGGCCTTGTTAAAAATGTTCAATAGCAACTCCACTTTTTTAACTTTTAAGTTTTCAATGGAAACGTTCTTGTGTCGCGAATATTTGCTATTGGGTGGCCTTTTTCTCTGTGTATCACTCCTTATTCCTCTCTTGGCCGACGAGTGTCGGGAATGACTAATTGAATAGAGCATGGGCTCGTATATCTCGCAGATACGTATCCGCCAGATACGTTAAAGAAGGCGTGAGCCCGGCCTAATGGCTTCGCCCAGCAACATGTTGCAATTAACGCTCTTCATTTGTCAATTGGCCCTGGCAACATTCGCTGCCAAAAGCTGGCAACATGCGCAGAGAAAGCGCTCTTCTCTCACCATACACTATCCAATATGTAGATATGTATATATTTCTCCGATTCTCTCGGATTCTCAGCTCTCCGGTTGCGACGACGATCGCAATCGCGGCGCGCAACATGTTGGCTTCAAACCGGTCTGGCCATGAACTTGGTGAAAGAAGCTACCAAACTGAAGCTCCAGTTGGGAGAAAAGTCTGCGCCGCGTTTTCCGCTTGGAAATTTTTAAAAGACGCTGCCATCCAGCGGCCTGGAACATTTGTAATCCGACGTTAGAAGTCAGCGGATCGTGGCCAAAAAGTGTCCCAGCCAACTGGCAAAAAAAAAGTAAAAATACTTCTGATTCCTGACTCTGGACTTCGCGTGTGTGTCTGTGCCCGAAGATTTGGAGTTACTGTTAGTTGACACTAATACGAGAGCGAGTGAAATACGAGAAATACAAGAAAAACCGAACGTGTATCGCGAGTGCAAAAATAAACAAAAAAAAAATAAAAACCCAAAAAATAGGAAAGAAAATCACAAGTCCCCAAGAAAAAAAACGTAGAAAAAACCAACAGAAACCTGACGAAAACGAAACTGCAATCTTGGTCAAAATGGTGCGGTTAACTGCAGCCTGGAGCTGCTTTTTGGCCCTGACAGCGTTTGTATCTGCTGCTGCCGCCTCCACGGCGGATTATCCGGGTGTTATCGAACTGGTGGGCTATAGCAATCGCCGGGCACGCACCTATTTCCAGGAGACACCACGCTCCAATCCTAATCCCCAGCCCGGCTTAACCTCGGCCAAAACCCGTGCGGACATTGAGACTGTGAAGAGGAATATCCGGAAGTACGATCGTTTGCTGGAACTGGATACGAAAAATCTGCCAGAACAGCAGAAGGATATGCTGGCCAGGATTGTGGAGAGGGTGGCCAGGCTCAAGGAATCCCTGGACATTGAAGAGCAGCAGTTTAACCAGCAGGAAGCCACTTCCTCCAGGAGCAGCAGTACATCGAGCACCACGCCTCAGGAAACGGAAGCGGAGACGGAGCGGGATCAGGAGTCCATTGAGCAAACCACTCAGCCACCCTCTGGATCCACCGAGGCCGAAACGGATCCTACCCTAATCCTGGACGAAACCACTCTGCTGGAGCTGCAAAATACGATGAACGAGCAGGCTGCCATGAGCACGATTATGAAGGAACTCCCGACCACCACGGATGTGAGTCAGCAGCAGGAGGCGGATTCGGAGGCCACCGATGAGGAGGGTGAAACCACTTCACCCAATCTGACCACCCAGTCGGAGGCTTCGACTACCAGTGACGAATCCCTCACCGAATCCACCGATCCCGATGATCAGTTTGTGGCTGCCAGATCGAATAACAATATAGCGGCCATAACGGCAGCGGATGATCCCGATGGCACCACCACAACCACAGCGAATTCGGGCAGTCAGCAGCGCACATTAACCACCATGGGAAAACTGAAGAATAGGGCCACGAAGCGACCTTTCGCCCACAAGGTCACCGCCGCCCTGAAAAGAGGAGGTCAGCGTCCGAGCGCCGTGAGTGCAGCGGCTGCAAATGCGGCAGCGGCCTCGAAACCGAGTGGCAGCACCACCTCCACCGCCAGTAGCACCACCCAAAAGCAGAAGATCGCCACCAATAGCTTCCAGCAAAAGCAGCAGCAAGCGAAGCCCCTGCAAAAGGTTACACCCTCGATAGGAGGCGGTGGATCTTCCAACCCGTCCTCATCATCGATTCCTTCGGCCACCACAAATTCAGCATCGCCAGCCCTGCCAATCGAGCAATTGTACACACGTACTCCTCAGGCCAATATTCCACTTGCAGCAGCGGCCGCAGCAGCAGCAGCAGCATCCTCATCCGCGGCAGCTCCAGGATCTGGAGGATCAGCCGGATCGGGAGCCACGCCAGCCACCTACAGCAACCAGCAGGACAGCATGGTGTACGATGCTCATGTCAATGCATCGGCCTTAATCGACAGCCTTAACACAAACGCTCGCGAGGAGTACTACCAACAGAAACTGGGAGCGGCCAACAAGGATAATAAGGTAAGGCAACATTCTATTAATTGGGGTTACACTTTATCCAAAGAAAAAATTATCCAAACTGCCAAAACTTTACTCAGAAATAGGTATCATTATTGTTATACTTAATTTTTTATTTTTGTTAATTTTATTAAAGATACAGTAAAGGCATAATAAAATTCCGAAAGTCTTTTAGTGAATAGGGAGTTTATTAGGATTTAAATTATTACAATATTTTACTAAAAGAAACAATTTTCTAACAAGCCATTATGTTTTGGCATACATTTTTTGTTTAACTTCCAAAAAGTTAAACATACCTACACCAAAATATAAATAACCAGACCCTACATCATAGACAAATATTTAAGGGGATCTCCCAACTCCTTTCAACAAAAAATACTGTCCATTCTTGGGCTTAATTAGCAATGACCACCGAAAACAACAAAGTTCGAAGGGGAAATGTAGAAAGGGGAAAGGCGTCGAGCGCCTGTCGAGCTAGATACATATTTCCCAAGACAATGGGCCTAGTCCCTGGGACTGAGACATCTCTGGACAAAAAAAACGGAAACCGTTTCGGGCTAAGCAAACAAAAACTGGAAGAGCCAAAGTAAAACCCCGTTGAATGTCAAATGCAGAATTATTGGAACAACTTGACTCTCAAACTATAACAACAAAGCAACAAGCGATGACAACGACAATGACAACAGCAACAACACGAGGGCAGCATAGACATAGTAGGAGCCACAAAAAGTTTAGAGATACACAGAGAAAAACCTATTAAAAAAGTATAAAATAGGTAGGCCTTCAAATATAATAACTAAATACTATTCCCTACAAAACAAAATAATACAAGTAGTTGAAATAGCCACAAAGAAGGGTTTATTAATGTTCCTATATTTGTGCTTCTCCAAATTGTTAGCTAAAGTACACCTTTTAATGTTAAATAAGAAATGATTACAAACAAATTATTTATAAAATATGTTCCTGAAATTAACAACAGGCAGTAAATTTATAAATCTCATGAGGGCATTATAAAATGATCGCAGACTATATATTTTAAAATTTTCCCTCACTGTATAGGGGTACTGAGCTGGGTTGCCGACTCGGATAGTTGGCCAAAGCTGGCCACTTGTTATAAATGGAGCGCCTCCAGGTCTTTGGCTTTCCATTGCAAATCGATTGTCATAAGCTGGAGGATGGCAAAGGGGAAGGGGAAGGGAACAGCCTGGAAAGCAACCAAAACTTTCAATACAATTGTTGAGTGGGTCAGTTTGTTTGGGTTGGTTCGGCAGCGTATCGTTTTGTTTTCTGCTTTTTTTGATGACATGGACAAGGGAACTGGTCAAGCCTTATTAGATACAGTCAAGACGGAAAACTGCAGTCAGTGAGACAGCGATGAAGATGGAGGGCATCTGGCCGGAGGATCGGCAATGATTTGGGCAGGCAGGCATCGGAATGCCTGGCAATTTGTTGCCACTACTGACCTATAAATTTTGATGTGCACCTAACAATGATGATTGGTAGTGGAGGCCGGAATGACTTCGCGTTTGAGTCGGTTTCAGAGATTCTGCGCAAACAACGACATAATTTATGGCCATAGTGCGATCGGCTATCGATGCAAGACGACACACATAGCCCAGCTTCCAGCCCCCATCCTCCAGCTCTCAGTTCCCAACTACCGACCAAGATCATCGACAGGTTGAGCAACTCACTTACCCAGCAGACGGAAACAGGTTGAGTTGGCGTTGCAAGATTCTAAGTAGCCTGGACTTACCTGAAATGAGAAGAGAATTAAACTAAATGAAAATGTTTCACTTGGCCATGGGTGGTTGAGTCACTGGTTCTGTGCCGGTCGTGTGCCTAATTAAAATGGCAGTCACATATCCGCACCTAAATGGGTTGCCAAGTCCCCGACCAGTCTAATAAAGACTTTAATTGTTTGTTTGCTGGTTCAATCGATCTGCAGATTAATCGAACTGCTCTTGTGCGGTTAGCATCGTTTGATGCCGTTTTAAGTAAAGACTGTGAATGGTTGAGATTATGGTTGCCGCACTGGGAATGTTGGTGAAATTTAAGAATGTGTTGGATTAGGCCTGGGTCCCAGTCTCCCAGATAATTAAGTCGGGGAAAGTTAAGACCTGAGCCTTTCATTGCCAATCCCAGGAGAAGGTTCTCATGGATGTTGCATTTGATTAAGCCAAAAGACACTATCCCGGCTAAAGAGCATTACGCGACAAGCGCCCCTCTCAGCGCTTCTCAAAATTGTAAGCTTATACGACAGCTAATCCTGACTACTACTTAGGATTTTCTTGTCCAAATAAACTATTAAACGAGTGGCTTCCGGAGAAGAAAAGCAGTTAAAACGATCTTTCCACACTAACACATCACCTGCTACACACAGCAGTGCACCTTGGAAATATTCCATTGAACAAATAAATTGAATTAAATACCACTGAGTGATCATTAATTACAATTCAATGCTCGGACATCTAGCATTTTAATGGGGCTTCGAAAGGTCATAAAATCGAATCAAAGCCCCTCAAGACAACGACGCTCATCAGAGGAACTTTATGAGCTACCCGTGATGGTCAGCCGAAGAGAATACCCAGAAGATGATGACGCTTGATCAGCGGAGCGTCAAGCGCTGGGCTGGGCCTTGATTGCCGGCTGTCGGTTACCGCTAGGAATATCATAAATTAACGATTAAGCTCAGATTTGTTTACGGTTACCGCAGGGGAGAGGAAAATACGAAGAGTGCTTTGGTTTGGTTTTAGCACTGTGACCGCGTGTAATTAACACATTGTTAAATAGATTTGAGCCTTTGGCCAGCATTTTGTTTTTGGCAACAATCGAAAGATGAAAGCATAATTGTTACATTGCCAACAAAAGAATTGGGGTTCGCTTCTTCTTCGCCGCTAATTTGCATACAAATAATAATAGAAGTAGGGGGAAAAACTTTCGCTGCCAGTTGAATTTACACGCTTTCTTCTCGAAACACAATCGACTTAGAACTGCAAACGAGGCTAAAGACCAAAATGTATTTTGTTTGATTTGTATAGACAAACCGATTGTGCTTAATTATAGAGGGCAAACCACCGTTAGTTCGTTAGCTAGTTCTATGGCTAGGTCATGTCTGATTCCGGCTGCGATCTTCTTCGCATGAGTTGCAAATTCCTCGGCTCCCCCTTTTTCCCTGACACTCTGGTGATGCAACCACCAACATACGACTTTTTCACGCTTCCAACTCGGCTAATTATCGGGGAGGAGGAGCAGGCCCAGAGGCTTGGCATGAGCCAAAGCTTTGGAAAGACCACCACTCATAATAATTAATTATAGCCTTTCCATATGCATCACACAAAGAAGCAAAAGAAAATTTAACTGCAGTTTAATGCTGAGCAAAGTGTAGGGTATGCCGAGTCTTATGGAAGGTACCAAACCTTGAATTAGTCTGGTTTTCAGACTAATTAGAAAAAAAGCACCCTTAAATTAATACGGAACTCCTATCCAATAAGATATTTTAACGATCTCTATGAGATTATTCAACATCTTAGGCTAGGCAATTGCCAATTATCCAATTTGTTACCAAATGCAGTTGAGAAATTACTTATTTTCCAATTGGTTGAATATAAAAATCAGGCATGCAACGAAAAGAGGTGAATTAAAGGCACAAAACAATATTATAAAGTGATTTACATATATAAAATTGAATAAAATTAGGCGAACAAATTAGAACCTATTAGCAAAAGAAAAAATAACTAAATTATTACGATAAACTAGTTCACTGAATAGATAGATAGATAGCTTAAAATTGCAGAGATAATTTCACTTAACCTAGACACTTTGCACAAGATTTATTCGGTTAGTTAACTCAAGTTAGTTTGTATATGACCTCTTCCCCAACTATCCATAGTAATCAGCCCAATTCGATCACTTTCAACCCAACTTTCGATGGCGTTTTCTTCTTCTAACAAAGTTCGACTCGTGCCTCGTTGCAGCAGCAATGACACTAACAATTTCACAAGTCATAGAGCATATAATCACAGCCTTGGCAGCCAAGTATGTAACCGAATGGAAAACATGAAAAATAACGTTGAAAAAAGTGAATTGCAGTTAATGTGGATTTCTAGAAATCATAATGAAATACGAAAAAAAAGAGAAATGAGACGAAGGCGGTGCCAAATCAAAGACAAAGGAAAATTCTCCTATGGTTTGTGAAAGAGTGTGAAATTTGTTGTCCAACAATTTAACAGACATCGGCAGCTGCCGCCGATTTTCCCTATACACATTTAGACACATGTGGACAGCGGAAGAAGGCGTGACTTGGTCAGCCGATGATTGACATGCTGAAGTAGCATGCCAGAGTGCACTTATCGAGGTCTGTCTGTGGATCCGCGTGTGTGGGCTGATCAAAGAAGCCAAGAAAGTTGGCGGGTGGAAAATGCAGGGGAATCAAGCATGAAAAGTTGATCTATAGTACCTCTAATTGAAAGTGGTTAAATGACAGCTGAAACAATTCATTGAGGGGGCATTAAAAGGTATGCAAATAATAGGGTAAATCTAATAAATTAAAAATCTATATATTATACTTTTAATCGATTTAATCGATGTAAAGATTTGAAATCGAATTCTGGTACAATTAAAACTCACATAGGTTTAATATCTTTAATGTCGTACTATTATTGATTAGAAAGCGACTTCAGTTTCCGACATGTAAACTTCTGTCCAAAACATCACAAACATTTACCAAATTTCCCCTGGCAATTCAAGAGACTCATCAGCTTAGAGCTTCTCCAATCGTAAAGTCAACACCTCATACATCAAGAACTCTTCCACACCGAACCTCCAAGACAAACATTTTCCCCCGAGCATGATCCATTACATCACAAACACAGATTTTCAGGGGGGGAGAGTGGAGCATACGTCTATCCGAACATGTTTTGGTCAAACATTTACCGCTTTGTTTTATCAATTGCTTGTTAACACAAACACATGCCGACAGAGAGATGATTGAGCTGACCGTTAGA